TTCTACAACCGGGCGTCCTCAGGGCTCATCCTAGCCACTTGACGAGCCCATCGAAGCCGTCCCACATTTATAAAACGGATAACGTCCCTATTTTCGTACACTCTCATTGTATGTTGATTTGTTCACCTTCTTCAGGTGGCCCTCTCTTTATCATAGATTGGTTCCAAAATTCATCAAATAGCTTCCATTCATTATGTCATTCCAATTATTTTTGTTTTTTACAATGCTTTAGCTAGACGCAACGTGCCAAAATTTTAAATAGTAATTATTTCAAATCGTTATTTAGCTGGATTAACAGCCAACATCCTGTCCTTTTCTGTATATCGGATCTATTATCTTAATAATGCGGGTTTTAATATGGTGATTTGGTTTTATAATTGCTATTAGACTGTATCTATTGTATAAGATGATTATTGTTAAATAGTTCTACAACCGGGCGTCCTTTGGGCTCATCCTAGCAACATTACCAGCCCATTGGAGCCGACCCACTTTTATAAAACGGATGACGTCCAAATCCTCGTACATGCTCATTGTTTCTTGATTTGTTATCCATCTCCAGGTGGCCCCCTCTGAATCATAGATTGGTCCCAAAGTCCATCAAATTGGTTCCATTTATTATGGCATTCCAATTCTTTTTGTTTCTTACAATGCTTTAGCTGGACGCAACTGGCCAAAATTTTAAATAGTAATTATTTCAAATCGTTATTTAGTTGGATTAACAGCCAACATCCTGTCCTTTTCTGTTTATCGGATCTATTATCTTAATAATGCGGGTTTTAATCTGGTGATTTGGTTTTATAATTGATAGTAGACTGTATCTATTGTATCAAATTATTATTGTTTAATGGTGCTACAACTGGGCGTCCTCTGGGCTCATCCTAGCCACTTGACGAGCCCATCGTAGCCGTCCCACTTTTATAAAACGGATAACGTCCCTATTTTCGTACACGCTCATTGTATCTTGATTTGTTCACCTTCTTCAGGTGGCCCCCTCTTTATCATAGATTGGTCCCAAAGTCCATCAAATTGGTTCTATTTATTATGGCATTCCAATTCTTTTTGTTTTTTACTATGCTTCAGCTAGACGCGACTAACCAAAATTTTAAATAGTAATTATTTCAAATCGTTATTTAGCTGGATTAACAGCCAACATCCTGTCCTTTTCTGTATATCGGATCTATTATCTTAATAATGCGGGTTTTAATCTGGTGATTTGGTTTTATAATTGCTAGTAGACTGTATCTATTGTATAAAATTATTATTGTTTAATAGTGCTACAATTGGGCGTCCTCTGGGCTCATCCTAGCCACTAGACGAGCATATCGGGTCCGACCCACTTTTATAAAACGGATGACGTCCAAATCCTCGTACATGCTCATTGTTTCTTGATTTGTTCTCCATCTTCAGGTGGCCCCCTCTTTATCATAGATTGGTCCCAAAGTCCATCAAATTGGTTCCATTTATTATGGCATTCCAATTCTTTTCGTTTCTTACAAAGCTTTAGCTAGAGGCAACTAACGAAAATTTTAAATAGCAATTATTTCAAATCATTTTTTAGCTGTATTAACCGCCAACAGCCTGTCCTTTTCTGTATATCGGATCTATTATCTTAATAATGCGGGTTTTAATATGGTGATTTCTTTTTATAATTGCTATTAGACTGTATCTATTGTATAAAATTATTATTGTTTAATTGTGCTACAGCCGGGCGTCCTCTGGGCTCATCCTAGCCACATGACCAGCCCACCGGGGCCGTCCTACTTTTATAAAACGTATGGCGTCCATATCTCTCGTACATGCTCATTGTTTCTTGATTTGTTCGCCATCTCCAGGTGGCCCCCTCTGGATCATAGATTGGTCCCAAATTCCATCAAATTGGTTCCATTTATTATGGCATTCCAATTCTTTTTTTTTTTCGAATCGGCGCAGCTGTTCCTCCAATGCCCTGGTCTGTATCCAAGCCTCAGCACTATAGGTTTTTTGAAATTTTGAATAGATGCGTACTAATAACGGGAACGTAATGTCGATATCATTTACAAAAGAAATCCGAAATCTTTCATTATCATTGAGTTAAACAATTAAAAGTATATATTTAACTATATTTACGTAATTAGAACAATGACACATCTATTAATATGATTTATATATTTAACTATAGGAATCTGGTACTTAAAAACTTTTAAGTTATTAACTTATAATATGGCGTGAGTAAAGTGAGGTAGTTCAAAATTTGAGTAAAATACTCTAAATTGGGTAAGTTGAATATTTGAGTAATGTAATCAGAAGCGGGAGGTCAATAGTTGAGTAAAATACTGAGGACTTAGTACTCACTTTGCCATTTGCCCATCTCTGATTTTAGTTTGTGACTACTTGCGGTTGGTTAATTCTTCATGGTGTTTCTAACTCTCTTCGCTGAGCCCCCTCCAGTTTAAGGTATCAACTTCAAATTTCTCTTAGGGTTTTCAGTAGATAAAAAAAAAAAAATCAATTTTATAGTTAATCTTCTCTACTTCCTATGATTGCCCAGAGATGGCAGCAACGTTCCTTGGTTTTCTTAACATCATTAAAATAAAATTGTAAATTTGATATGTTCCCAAAAAAATTTGCATGATTTACACATTGTTTTCTAACTTACAACAAAATACTATGTTATAAATCAGGCAATTAATAAAAGACACAAGTTATTATCACTAGCAAACTTTCGGGAAGAAGCCTCTACCCACAGAAAAGTATATATATTTTTTTATTGGTACATCTTTGTGTACATCTAAAATACATACATATTTGTGTAAATCCGCAAATCTTAAATAAGTCGAAACGCAGTGGCTAGATCATAAGATGGTAGCCATTTTCGTAAACAGCGACTCGGAAAATATATGAATAGACCGTCATATAGAAGAAATCCGAAAAATTCAATTAAGTTAAAATGCTGTGGCGTAATATCAAAATGGACATAATTTTCAAAAACTTCGGCTTCACTAACTTTTTATGTCTATGTGTGATCTGAGGTTAATAATAAGAATAATAATCCCTTTAGAATAATACAGAAAGACATAGATATGGGCTAAGGAGCCTCAGAGATACATAAATAAAGATACAGAGTAATTAAACAGTCATAGTAATAAAATTAAAAATTATAAGTTACTTTCTAATTTTAATCAGTTAATAATAAAAAATTAAATAAAAAGGATGAAGTAAAAATAATGAAGAACGAGCTAATAATTTATATACATATTTACATTAGTATCTATTTACAATTTCATGGGGACTGGATGGATAAGAAATGATTGAACAGGCGGGATTTAAAGGTAGGAAGGGTATTAGATTGTCGAATGTGAGAAGGGATGGAGTTCCAAAGGGATGAGGATCGGATAATGAAAGATCTGTCGAAAGCAGCGGTTCGGTGGGCCCTTATATATAAGTCAGAAGACCGGGAACGAGTATTGCGGGAACGAACAGAGGATTTGAATTGAAGGAGCTCAGAGATGTATGAAGGACGGTGTGATTGGATAACTTGAAAGAGGAAGGATGCCAGGAAATATTTACGACGGTAAGAAGAATAAAGCCACTTCAACTATGCATAAAAATGGGAAACAGAAAATATATACTCTTTATAAATTATAAAGCATATACAGCAATTCAATGTAAGTACATGTCAAGAAAAAAATATAATCAAGCCATAATTGTTCCTGTAATTACCTGATTTTTTTTTTTTTAACAAGCATTCTAGCACACCTTATACATTATTTCATATGATTTCTTCCTTTTTCTTAAAAATTAATTACGGTTATATATATTAAAAAAATTAAATCCTAAATCCACTTCTAACCATTAATAATACATACACTAATACTACAACAAACCCTAAAATAATTATTACAAAATATATAATCATAAACATAATTAAACAATAAACACGTTTGAAAAAATATTGATTTAAAAATATATATTTAATATATCCAAGGCCAGAGCACATATTATATATGCAACTCAATGCAGAGGAGATCGTATTGGGTTTATCGCACCAGTCCCTAAAATTTGAAATATTAGCTCTGAAAAATACAGCTCTCTCATATCGCCTATGGTTCGTGGTTTGAATATTTCCAGCTCATTATGATTTTCTATCCCTTGGTAAAGTCTAACCATCAAACTAGTATATATTGGACATTCCTATAATATATGATAAAGAGTTTCGTTATTTTTTCTTCTGAACATTTTTCACACTGGTTTCGGATTTATTTTTTACCGATAACTCAATGATATATTTAACAATAAGAAAAATCTGCATTACGATTCTGGATTATTTAAAAAAAGACGGTATTAATGTATATACTATACTATTTGAAAGTCAGAAAAAAATATTGAAATTTTCTATGTAATCGTAAAACTTTAATATATTTGTTTTCCGTACATGGCTTTTATTTGTTTTATCTATTATTATATTGCTTATTTATTTAATTATTTATTATTCGATTGTTATTGGCTATTATCATGGCTTTTTGAAAATTAAATCACCTTCTTCAATGGTACAGCAATTGTATTTAGATAGGGAAGAAGTAGATGGGGACCAATAAAAACATCATTGCATTATGAAAAATAGTTCGGTGTTTCTAAACTGCTACCATTCTAAAATATTTACTAGCCAATTTAGAGAATACTTCATTATATATAATCCAATATATGTAGAATCAGTTTCCAGACGAATTTAAAAAATCTGGATTTATTATTTTTATTTGACATTTTATTTATTTATTTTAGGTATTGGGTTCTATGATTTATTTTCGTGCACCTTCAATGCAAGTTTACTAATCAGCATTGAAATGTTTTGATGTATTTTTAAAATAAAATACTGTAAATACGATATTACAATAATTTATTTAATTGTAGGTAAAAATGGACCTGACTTTTGATAAACAGTCAGGTTTCCAAAGCTGAACAGATCCAAACTGACACATAAAGCTTTCTCTCGATAGACAATTGGATTTCTCTCAGTGACGGCCATGGTATTAAATCCCTTTACTGGGCAAACAAAGGAATATAATAAGTATTAAAGAACAGCCAGCGACAAACGGAAATGATGTCAAATATATCTATCACTATAACTTCCAGATTGTAATTTCTGTATAAGACACGCTTCTTAGTATTACTTTGTATCATCTCATCCATATTTAACTTTGATTTTTTCCTTTATAGCGTTCCGTTTATACTGGTTTGAGATGTAGCGGGGTAGTGCGTTGTCATTACGCATGCCGCTAGCATTACACGCAGGGTTTCCATTTCGATTAGAGGGGGCCCTATGTACCAAGGCAGTAGTTCATGAAATGTGCACAAATTCAACATAATTATCATAAAACGAACAAATCTAATATTGGATATTTAAAAATAAATTTATATATATATATATATATATATATATATATATATATATATATATATATATATATATACATTAAACAAGAAAGAAAGAAAGACAGCCTCCATAACATATGTGCATTTCTAGAACTTCTTCAGGTAAAAACGAATAATTTTAAAAGATATTGATTTCTTAGTTTCTACGACCTCCAGATAAAAATAAAACCATTTCACCGTCTGACTACGTAAAAATGTCTATAAAAATATTTTCTGTAAAAGATACTTCTCTCTATAAATACTTATACTTATTAAATATATTTTTCCAACTTCATTGCAAAGCATTTATAAGAAAATCACCTGGAAATGGAGCGGTCTACATGAAAGTTTAATGAACCATAAAATTCAAGGATGTTTTTATATTATTAATCCTGAATATGAATGAACTTTTAAATAATAAGAATATTTAAATCGTGATAAAATAGTTACTTATAGGCCTTTGCTTAGCCAGCTAGTCAATTTTTCTTAATCGATTTTAGTTTAAATATTGTATTCATTCATGTACCTTATTTGTTTTCGATTTTAATTTTTTTTGGGGACTGGAGGGACGAAACGATATTATCTCCTACTCGGCATTTTTATGGGGGGTAGGATAATCGAAGTCTAAGCCTATAACCGCTACTGCCATAAACAACACTTTTTCTTATTATCATGTTATTTTACAAAGTTTTGGGATGTTTTATTGATGGAACAATAATAATAAAGAGTTTTTCAATGATGGAGTTCTGCTCTGTAATGTCCTGCACCATATGGGCTCTCATACTTCGTCTTCATCCTCTACAGGTCCTTTTCCAAAGTCATCTGCCATATTAGTCTTTAAAACAACCTCCGTTTCCATCTGCATCTGCATGCCATGACATTCCATCACTTCTTGCATGTAATGTCAAGAAGTGTTCTCGTCCGACTTTCTCCTTTCGTTGGTATGCAAATTATCTGAATTATGTGTAGTTTCTTCGGTTATACCATATATTCCTCTCGTTGTGGCCAAACTCGCTGGAAGATTGGCCACTAGAGAGAATCACTTTATTATCATAAAATGGTGCTGTCCAATTACATTGGGTTGCTAAAAACACAGCATACATATTAATCACTACAATTTTTAAAATAACATATAATTATATATTAATATATAATAAAATGAAGGAAAGGTAAACATTTAACCAGAAAATTCTTCCGATATCCACTCAACATATGAAGGATTTTCAGTCTATAAATCTAATATAATGTGAAACTTTCCTAAACAGACACCTCTCATGAAAGGGTCATTTTTTTGTTTACCCTTTATATTTTATCAGTTTCAAAACGTAACGACAGGATACTGACTCCGATTCGATACCTCTTTCCACAAACAAAATATATAATAAAAGGACAGGTCATATAAAAACCTAATTGGTTCCACGAACAAGGAAACGGTTCGTTTCATCATATAAATAAATAATTTAAAATAATGAAATTATGAGAACACTCGTTCAGTTCTATCGAAGTAAGGAATCTGTTGCTGACACATGAAAAAAAGTTATAATAAAATAAGGCATACATACATATAGTAATGACCATACATACATATATGGCGCCACATCTCGTCACCGAGACTAGGCCTCCTCCAAAAGCTTTCGCCAGTCGATACGATCAGCTGCAGCAGCTCTCCAGTTTCGGACTTCCAGTAGAGCCCGTGCGTCCGATGTCACTGAGTCCTCCCATCTTACATTTGGCCTGCCAACTTTTCTTTGCCCAGGCATCTTTCTGGACAGCATTTTTCTGGGTATCGCCGAATCATCCATACGTGCGGCGTGTCCGGCCCATCGAAGTCGTCCTATCTTTATAAACTTCACCAAGTCTATGTCATTATAAAGGCAAGCGAGTTCGCCATTCTTCCTTCCTCTCCAAATTCCACCCTCTCTAACAGGACCATAAATCCTTCTCAAGATTGATATCTCAAAGATCAGAACTCTATTTTCATCTTGCTTCTTAAAGGCCTATGCTTAACAAAGCATACCTTGCATCATACTTTTTCGAAATTAAATGTTCCAGCCACAAAAGAAACGGTCCCTGGCCCATTTCCTCCGACTCTCATATACTTGGTCTTAGCATCATTAATGTGTAGCCCTAGTTTCTTTGCTTCATCTTCTTAGGCCAAGAACGACTCTCTTAATGCACGTTCCAATCTGGCGGCAATATCAAATTCGTCAGCGTACCCAAGAAGCTGAACGGTGCTGGTAAGAAGGGTTGCGTGGAGTTGGATTCCGGACATACGCACTGCTGTCTCTGTAGCTAAGTTGAAAAGAAGAATAATAATGACCAAGGTTAATAAAAACTAAATTAAATGCTTTTGATTTACAAGGTCTCGCAATCGACCAAATTCTTTTCGAATTGATCTTCCAAGTTTGAACCAATATCATTCTAATATGAGTCTCATATTTTAGGAGAAATATATGGATAAACTAAATTTGTTTTTGGCACAAATTAATGTAAGGAATTAGATTAATTGTTTACGACAATAATCTATACAATGATATAATACCCCAGTACATATTGAATTTGTTCTATCTTTCGAAACAATTTTTATAAAAATTATTTTAAAAATTATAAAAATTAATATAATATAATATCTAAAATCATTTGGCAATTTGAAATATAATCCATTACGATATCATATATTTTATTATTTATAATGGATCGTTTGCGTTTCGGAGCAACACTTCCCATTTTCAAAACATTAAATTTTCATCATTAAAATTTATTAAAGATGCGAAATGTTTAAGGAAATTCTTTAAACATTGCTAAATACACATTAAAAGGGCCTAACGGCCTATTCTTAGCCAACTTTGTCAGTTTAACTACACCTAGTTATAATATGAAATTAGATTCCTTACAACATGATACTATTCATATTAGTTAAATTTAAAAATGATACAATTTAAGTGCTTTGAAGAAAACTGGTGCAGCCAGAAAAGATGGATGTTCACGTTTTTAACTTCCTAAAATTTGTCAACTCCTGCTGTGTTTAATAAAAATTCTTCAAAAGAGAGAGCATTCAATTTTCGAATTTATCCCATGTTTAAGCGCGTTATACCCAATGTGCGTCAGAGACTTTTGGCATATTTGGCTGTGGTATTAGGTATGTTTCAATTTTATTATAATCAATTTTTATCAGATTATTAACACCCATCTACAAACTTAGTCAACGACTTCATGTTACCGTAACCTACAAATGTTTTATCTACGGAAATTCTCAGAAATAGGGCGTTTTCTCCTTAAATTAATTAATTTAATGATGTACGAAAAACTCATGAATTTGCTTTACATTAGAAACTCCAGATAATTTTATTTAAAAAAAAAAGGAAAAAAAAGACTGCCTACAAAAAAGTTGCGGCGTACGGGTAAAATATAACTTCGTTATTTTGACGTTGGTAGTGGAGGTCACGCAAAATGGTCTAATATTTTGCAGGTTACCTGTTTCACGATCTTTCGATTAAATTGTCTTACCGAATTAAATAGGTGTTTATGAATTTTTAGTACCTCATTAAATCAACGAAGTTTGTTTGTTTGTTGTGGTTTTAAGGCGTAAATTAATATACTGAAAATTAATTTTGTTAAATCTGTATTCAATTTTTAAGATTTAAATTTTTTTAAAAGAAAAATCTTTGATTTCAATAAACTTAACACTTACTTAATTGTGTTTTCGTCATCCCTCAAAATATTTGCTATCGGAGGTGTAAGTCCTGAACTATTCACATTCGATACGTAAAAAGGACACTCCTGTAAAATGTGGCCCACTGTAAGTGTATTATTAGAGTGTTGGAATTGTGGTGGTGGCTGTTTGCTAATGAGATGTTATTGGGTAAGACTTGTGTTGCCTATTCTCAGCCTGGCCAAGACATCCCCCCCTCTGAGGATATAACGATTTGATGTTGACAATGGATTATAAACCAAAACGAAGTTCACCGATCTTCAGATAGAATTCCCTTAAATAAAAAAGTTGTAATGAAGAGAAGAATAGTTGGGGTGATCAGTCAAATAAGAAGGCACAAATAAATGATAATATTTATTTTGACATTTGCTGACGTTTCGACCTGAAGTTCAGGCCTTCATCAGGGTTAAGAAAATAACCAGATAACAAGGTATGAGAAACATAAGTAGTGATGGTAAAAAAAAATTAAAATAAAGTAAAATGAAGTTGTTAGAATAATGACAATAGTAAGAACTAAGAGATAAATAATAATAACCGTTACAAAGTGTGAAATGATGAAGTAAACATAATCAAAAAAGGTAAACATAATTTTTTTGATTATGTTTTTAACGGTTATTATCATTTATCTCCTAGTTCTTTCTATTGTCATTATTCTGCCAACTTCATTTTACTTCTTTTTTTTTTCCTACACTACTCATGTTTCCCATACCTTGTTATCTGGTTCTTTTCTTAGCTCTGATGAAGACCTGAACTTCAGGTCGAAACGTCGGCAAATGTCAAAATAAATATTATCTTTTTTATCATGTTTAAGGCAATAATACTTCGATTTTTCTTCAAATTTTTTAAATTACATTTGTTGTCTCTTACGTTACGGGACAATTTTGCCATCATCAGGGAAATCTTTATATTCACTGAAATTATGCACATTTTATATTAACTTCTATTTAACAATATCATTCTACTTCATCTATTGTACAAATATTTACCTTTATTTTTTTGATGTGGCACCATTTGTCAAAAATCAAATATTTGTCACATTTTTAAAACTATTTTTTGGTGTTAAACATCTTTGCACATTAATTGATACACTAATCAACATCTGGCTATCTTTAGTTTTATTTCTGTACTTTGTACCTGTCCACTTATTTCTTATTATGGCTGTTTGTTATGTTTTTTTTTTGGCTATTGTAGTTTTTTTGAGTTTTAATATTGGATATTAAGTCCAAATAGTGTGTATCTAAATGTTTTGGATCTGTTTTATAGTTTACTGTTCTATTATTGTTTTTTGTTATATGTATAGCTCCCAGCAGTTTCCTATTATTTGTTTTAGGTTCTATTGCTAGTATTTATGGGTTTAAATAGTCAAAAGTGTGAAATGATTTAATAATATGGTTTGCTAGGGCTGTTACTAATAAAAAAAGATAATAAAAAAAAAAAGAAAAAAAAAAGAAGATAAATATTATCATTTATTTTTCTCTTCTTATTTGACTGATCACCCCAACTATTCTTCTCTTCATTATTTACGGCAGTCGACCATTTAACCACAATTATAAATCAAAAAAGTTGTAGGTTAGGATAAGATGAAGTCAATCACAATGCTTTAGTCGGATGTTAATGGTTTAATGAAAATGGGTCTGCATTGCGAACTATTATGAGCGTTATAAAAACGCGTATCTTTTTTTTTTTCATTTTTCTACATTTTATTCTTCACATTTCTCATAAGCGGACATTCCTATCAAGCGGGAAAAAACTCCATCCGGCTGTCGGTTTTGGGATGTTCCACTGTTTTATCAGCCTCCTGTTTTTCCTGGTCTGTTTATCTTCTTGATTTTTGACAGTTCATTACATTTTCATTCGGAACACTGATCATCAAGCTTCTCGACTTTACGAACTCGAGTGACGGATGGGATAGGCTTGAGATAGCTTCGTATTTGGCTGTTGGCTCTCTCTTGCAATTCTTCTTCCGAGGCAAATTATTTGATGATGTTCGAGGCGAAAATGCTTTTCTGGAGGCGGTGGTGGGGGCAGGCGCGGTGGCGAAGCGTCAGTGTGGTCGCAGCGGCCTGGGGCGAAGGTTTAGTCCCAGTCCGCCCTCAGTCGCCGACGAAGGTAGGTCGGATCCAGTAGCGTAATGATGACTCTCTATCCACACCTCCTGTCTCTCCAGTTGCACACTTTTCGGGTCATCCTGAAATAATTCCCGGTTAATTATACTTACTTTTTTTTAATTTTAATTTTATTTTTTACCTCATCGAGTCGAATATTTGATTGACTAAAAATTCGATCTCGACTATGTTCGGCAGTACACAAAAATCATGATACATAAATATGATATTTATTTTTCTACTTTTATGACTAGAATATCCTCTTATTGAGAATATCCTGACCGGAACCATTAAGAATCATTTCAGAATAATTTGATTCATTCTTCAAATATATTACATGATAGAAGAGAATTATCAATGTCTGATTACAGAAGTGTCATTATGTCTTAATCATATAATTCAATCACTTAAGCATTTTGAACAGATATATTGGTATATGACAATGATAGAGCTGATAAATGTTTTTGCTATTGAAAAATGATTCGACAGCTCATTTGTCATGTATTACTTTTCTGCTATACTGATTTTTATAACAATGACTTTAGGAAGCCATTACAATATGTAAAACTGGAAACACTTTTCCATTATTGAATTGATTCTATATTCTCTTGATATTCCTGATAATTTATTGCGAATAATGTTTCCTTTCGACATCCATTTTGGTCATTAGATTTGTTTTCTTCTTTTTTCTATGAATAATTTAAATTTATTTCATGATGGAAGAATACATAAAAAAGAATTGATAGGTATGTTAAATTGTTTCACAGATGATTTTTTTTTTAAACCTTGTTTATTCACAATAGAAGTCACGAATATTATAAATAATCAGGCTGCTACTTAATTGACTTCAAGAATACATTATGTAGCAGATACATTGATGACCTGCTGAAGATTCCGCATCTCGTATTGGGTGCATTTAATTCTATAATCTCCTTCCGCACTTCAGTGGCACGTAGCAGTCGTTCTCATTTAGATTTTCTTACAGGGCATATATTCATTTAACGTCAATAGAGGAAATTATACTAAATTTAAAAAAAAATACATACCATCATTGTATATAATTCAAAAAATAAGTAGATGTATATGAAAAAAGATATACTAGTTATATACAAAGTATCATTAAATTTATAAATGGAAATTAACTTAATAGATAAATTTAAGAACTTAAATAATTGTGTGTGGGAAACGTACTGCATCATCCATTTAAATCCATATTTGTGGTTCCATTTTTTTTAAAGAGAAAACTTCACTAAACTGTCGTTTTATTTAAAGAAGCATTAAATATTTTTTTCGGATTTTATTAATTCATTATATTTTAATTTTATGTCATTATTGATTAGAATCACTTCAGAAGTAACGTTTTGGCTTCATCTTACAGATAACCGTACTTTTTTTCTTCAAAATAACATAGGTAATTGACAAAATGTACTAATAAAATTAAGGATGCCTATAAGTTGTAAATAAGAAAAACATATATTTCAATTGTTACAAAACAGTATTTTACAGGTAATAATCTACCGACAAATGGGAATATAATGGTCTTAATTTTTTTATATCTATATTGTATGAAAACAGGAGACATTTCGTGCTAGGTCAGCAGCTACTAGTAACTAATAATTAATAGATGAATATAAGAAATATTGAAGGGATTCCGACAAGGGAATAACGTAACCTCATAAGAAATGTTAAAGATTTCTTTTATTATTTATAGAACTATTTTAAATTAATGAGAAAAATTTCAAGGTAAAATATAATTACCATGATCATTTTATATTTCAAGTTGTAAAGTGGGGCATATTCTGGATTTAGCAATATTTTTTTTTATTTCTTAATGATATTTACAACTGTATTAATGAAATACACCTGGCAAATTTGCACGAATGGGTACAATGAGGTGAAAACACTTGAGAAACTACCCAATAGCAGCATTCTAATAATTTGTCTACATTAAGAGATCACGAGGCCATCTTCTTTTCAGACGCCTCGGAAGGTTATCAGGATTGAAGAGGAAGCAAAGGGTAGAAACGAGAGGGTTGGGATGATTCCGAAGTTTATTATGGAAGGACAGGTATCTGGATTGGGCCAGATCTGAAAAATAACGAACATTAAGGTCATTATGGATGATTTTATTTACAACAAAGTAGGGAGAATTGAGGGTTTTACCAAGAAATTTTGATTGTAAAAATTGCATATGAGAGGAATTCGATGGTTTAGTGGAGCCCCATAGCTCAACTCCATCAGTCCAAATAGACCTTGTTAATGTCACGTATATGAGTCTTTTTTTAATTAATTAGAAGATTAGAGCATTTGTCGAGTAAGTGCTAAAATAATCGGAAACGTCGAGCGGTTTCTTATCGTTTCAGTCTGGTATCAGGATTCGAAGTTAGAGGTTTGTCCAGGTGGAGTCCTAGGTAGCGGGTTTGTTCAACAGGGATAAGTGAATTATTATTAAAGGATACTTTAGGAATATTGTTTAATGAAACTGTAAGAAAGGATTTTTTGATGAATCTGAAAGACACCAAGATAATTTGGTGGAATTGATTAGAATTTATTTCATTCTCCAGTTTCGAAAACATTCTTCAAGGTTTATGATGTGCGATTGAAGCATTGGGGGTTTTAGCAATATAAAATTTCCTATATATATATGCAGTAAATTCATATATAATATAGGCAGCACTTTAACATCTCAAAAATTGTCATAGAAATCATAAAACAATTAAATAATATAATATAATATATATATATAATATATATATATATATATCCGTAAGTCCAAATAGGTCTTATTATTGTCATATATACGAGTCGTTTGTAATTGATTGGAAGCTTAGAGCGTTTGTCTATAAGTACTGAAGTAGTCGAAAACGTCGAGCGGTTTCTTGCCGTTTCAGTCTGGTATGAGGATTCCAAGTTAGACGTTGGTCCAGGTGGAGTCCTTGGTATCGGATTTGCTTTACAGGGATAAGTGAATTATTATTAAAGGATACTTTAGGACAGGAAGTCATAGGTTTACGACGAAGGGTAAATGTAATTTGATGAACCTCTTCCAAAAAAAGTATTGGCTTTGTTAATTGATTATGAAAACATAATTGATTGTTTGATTATGATTTCTGATATTAATTACATGTGTATAACGTACTTTACTGTTGATACTTATTAAAAGTTATTGAAATCATGAAAAAATGCTTGATTACATTTGAATGTGGAAAGTTTTTAATTGTGTATTATTTCTGATAAGTCTATGAGCTACAGCCCATAGGCCTTCAGAGTAGTAATTTTCAATTCTAGTTTTAGTAGTTTTTTTTAGGTTAAATGGATAAACCGTCAGTGTTGGTTTTTGGAGCAGCAGGTATTACACAGCGAGATAGGCATTTAATGAATGATTTTAATTATTGAATATTTAATAGTTGACCGTTGCATTATAAAGGAAGGAGATGGTCCGGGGTTGCGGTCATAAAAAGGCTAAATAGTGGTAAAACTATTTAGCCTTTTTATGACCGCAACCCCGGACCATCTCCTTCCTTTTTTTAATTATATATTAATTATAGTAAATTACTGATGTTTTTGTTTAGTTCATTAAGTATGCATGATTTGTGATTCTCCGTAATTATTGTATGATTCAATACCACTTCTGTGTCAGCTAATAACTGCGTAAACTAATATCTTTTTTACTAATATTGCCAGATATTATGCTAGAATTCTCAATTAAGGTATATAAATAGTTATTTCATTTTGTATGTCTACTTCACTTAAATTGATTATTCTATTACTTTTATGCATGCCATTGTATTTATCGATAATGCACCCATCTCTAGGAACTCCATCATCAATGTAAATTTTATTTATATTATGGAAATTAAATGACAATTTTTGTTTTGTGTTAATTGAATAATATGGTTTCCTGTTTTCTGGCTAGTTTTTTCTGTTTATTTTATTATTATTTCTATCATTGCTGTAAAGTAAAAAAATATTATATAATTTTTATGATTATTGTTATAAGTAACTGGCTGGCACAGAAATGACAGTAAATGATGCAATAATTACGGATAATCACAAACGAAATAAATAAAAACATCAGTAATTTATTGATTCAATTGTTTTTATTATTTTATTGTTTTCTGGGCTATTTAGTATTTTCACATTGTTAAAGTCATATGTATGATCATTCACTATACTATATAAAGCTGTTTTTCGTTTTTCTTAATTATTCATATTTATTATGGTTTATTTTATTGTTTATGTTTTTTGACTTTTCTCCTATATAATGTTTTGAATTCAATAGGATTCGAAATACAACTTATTTATTATATAATAAATCCAAATATGGGTCGCAATCTACAGGAACAAGGGCTCGACTCGAATGGTTTCGCTCCTCATTTCCATAACATGGGCTCTGATACTTCAGATAATGTAAGCAGCAGAATAATTTTACATTGTCTTTCCTTCTATGACAAATGAAAACTCCTTTTATTTTTATAATTCACTATCCGGTTGTCTTGCGATAAAAGCATACCTTCAGGATTTTGGTATTTGAAAGTTAGCTACCATTTTTTTTTTTATATGGATATACTGTAAACGATTATTATAAATCCCCTTTAATTCTTCTCCACGTAATCAAATTGAATTTAGTGTGCAGAAAAATATCGTCCGAAAGGATAAATTGAAAATATTTTGTTCGTTGGAAATATTAAGCAATTAAATTAGATCGATTGAAATCATTCAAGATAAAAACCTCAAAGTGAGCTTCAAGAACAAGGTGTTGTGTGGATTAAAATTCGTTCTCGGAAAAAGACAGATTAGAAGACCTCAGCTTCACAGTCAACTCAATTAATGACTTTGACTTCAAATGAACTTTTATTTTTGGAAATTTCGTCTTGAATCGTTCGTATTGTTGTTGCTCAGAAAACTTTCCTAATGACTGAATAGACGTTTCAATTCATCGAACAATAAAATTATTCTTAAAGCATGATACAGTTTTATTAAGCGATATGACAATGGTGAGTTTTTTTATATGATTTTAAATTGTG